GCAAACTTTTGTAAGCATTTTGTGAGCTAGCTAACTTTTCTTTTAATTTTTTATTTTTCTTTACAAGTTGCACATCATTGATTATGCATGCATTTGTTGTTGCACTAGCCTTAAGTTGCTCAATTTTAGTAGATAGTTCAACATTGAGATTAGCAAAGTTCTCATATTGTTCAAGCAAAGTTTTGTATGCTTCTTGTAAACTATTTAGCTTTTCTTTTAATTTTTCGAGCTTCTTTTGTTGACTAGTGCAAACTTTAGCATAATTAAGATTTTGTTGCACAATTTCATCATAAGAAGGCATTTCATCATCACTATGACTCTCACTAGAGGATGAGCTTTCGTTACCTCGTGCCATAAGGCACACATGAGAAGAGCTTGATGATGAGTGCTTGCAGCCTCGCCTCTTGTGATGGTGTTTTTCTTCACTTGAAGAATCATCCCATGACCTTATTGATGTGAGGGCTTAGTTCTTGCACGCCTTCTTCTTTGTCTTGGGTGTGGACTTGTTTGGATAAACTTCCACAAAGTGCCCCAACTCGCCACATCTATAGTATCATCTCTTTCTTTGCTCATTTCTTTGATTGGTGAAAATGAGATCTTAAATTTGTTTGGGCACACCCTTGACATTGAGCCTTTGAATCATTTTTTCACCTTGTTGATTAGTTTGATTGATTCTTCATCAAGGTCGGAGGTGGAGGAGCAAGATTGATCTTCATCACTTCATTCTTTATCATCATCCTCTTCTTCTTCTTCATCTTCACTTGAGGAGCTTGAGCTTGAGCTTGTCTCAACTTGCTTGCCCTTCATCTTCTTTTTCTCGCTACATGCGAGAGCTTTGCCTTTGCTTGATGAAGAGGCTTCTTCTTGACCTATCTTGTGTGACATTTCAAATGTCACTATCTTGCCAATGACTATGGTTGGGGTCATGGTACTTAAGTTTTCCATGTTGTGAAGGATGGTGATGATGCTTGCATATTTCTTTTATGGTAGCACAGAGATGATCTTCCTCACGAAGTCCGCATCAGCTAGCTTTGTTAATCTTATAGAATTAAGCTCATTGATTATTAGATTTAAACGAGAATACATATCACGAACAAGCTTATCATCATTCATTTCAAAATAATCATAACTTTGTTGAGCTAGGTAATGTTTTTGCTCACGGACATTACTTGTGCCGTCATGGAGCTCTTAGAGTTTTAACCAAATTTCATATGCCGTATTTAAAGTGAATACTTGGTTAAAAATATCCATGCTAAAAGATTCGAACAAGCAATTTTTAGCTCTAGCATTGAAATGTATTTCCTTTTCATCACTCTTTGTGGGTTTATCGGGATTCTTAATGGGTTTCATCCCGTCACGAGTGACTCTCCAAACTCTCAAATCAACCGCCTCAAGGTAGCAAGCCATTCTACCTTTATAATAGGGGAAGTTAGTACCGTCAAAGTGCGGAGGCCTAGAGGTATCCATCCCAACCACTCTAAATGGTGTCGGCTCAACTGCGGTTAAGCCAAAGGTCCAAATTAAGACAACCGGCTCTGATACCAATTAAAGGGACCGTGACGCCTAGGGGGGGTGAATTAGGCAACTTAAAAATCTACTTCTAAACTATGGCCTCTTTTTCTAACCCTAGCAAAACCTATGCAAAAGATAAACTATCTAAATGTGCAACTATGGTTTTGCTAGTGTTGCTATCTCTACCGCAAAAGGAGTAATACAATCAATATAAATGCGGAAGCTAAAGAGCAAGGTAGAGATATACAAACTCCCATCAACGACTTCGGTATTTTTACCGAGGTATCGAGAAGCGCGCAAACTTCCCCCTAGTCCTCGTTGGAGCCCCTCGCAAAGGCCAAGCTCCCAGTCGGGTAACTCCATGGATAGCCTTGGGCCTTTCCCACGCGCAAGTGGGTCTCCAACGTGCCTTCCGGCAAGCCTCTCTTGGATGCTCCCCGCCGTCTTCACTATCAAGCTTCCGGTCGAAACGCCGCGGGCCTTATTTCCTCCGGTACACGGTGGCGGCCACACCACAAACACGGTGGGTGTGATCTCACAAGACTACAAGCCCCTCCAATATATAACAATGGTGCGCGCAAGCACCGAGTGGTAAGAGGTATGCAAACCTCACTAAACACTAGGCCTAAACCTAGAGCGAGCGCATAAGCGGTGGTCTAATCAACCTAAGCACTTCGCAAAGCACCTACGCTAATCACCTAATGAATCACTAAGCACTATGCAAGTGGAGATAACTAAAATGGTGTATCAACACCCTTGATATGTTTCCTCAGCTTCACACATCTCATTTGGCCGGTTGGGGGGTCTATTTCTAAGCCCCACTGAGAAAGTAGCCGCTGGGGACGAAATCCTGCTTTTCTGCTACTCACCGGACGCTAAAATCGCCCTGACTGGACGCTGCTAGCGTTCGGTCACATGCCACCGGACGCGTCCGATCGCACATTTGCCGCTCTGGAACCTCTCTGTACTCGACCGGACTCTGCTGTCCTGCGTCCGGTCAATTTGCTTCTTCAGCGTCCGGTCGCTACAGCTGCCGAGCCTCTGATCGGAGTGTCCGGTCACCTCTGTAAGCTCGTTTCTTCGTGATCTTGCGCCTGGCTTGGTTCTTATCTTCGTGCTTGGACTTTGCTTGATTTCTTGGGTCTTTTCTTGTGCTCCTAGGGTCTTGCTTAAGGTGTTGATCATCGGATCATCACATTGCCTTTGTTCAAGTCATGTATTGTATCCTATTGAACTACAAAACAATCACTTTCAAATTCATTAGTCCAATTTGGTTGTGTTGGTCATAAAACACCAAAATCCAAAGTAAATGGGCCAAGGGTTCATTTTCCTTACAAGTGCAACGAGGCCACTTTTCCTTTCTCAGGGCATCGGGATTCTCCTCTATCGCTGCTTTCGCTCGGCCTGCACGTTCAAGCTTCTTCTCCCTCTCCTCCCTGTATGCAGCAACACGCCTCCTTTCCTCCTCTTTCTTGTGCTCCTTTTTTGCAGCCTCCTCTCAACGTCTCTTCTCCATCATCTCCTTATCCTCTACCTCTCACCGCAATAATTTCTGCATCTATTCCTTGTCTTCAGGCTTGATCTCAGTGTCGATCCACTGCTCAAAATCATAGAGTGGTGGAAGGGTCTGCAAAAAATGCAATTGTTACAAAAAAAACATGCAAGATGTCATATGACACAAACAATAATTTATCACCATCTTATTAATGCGACGCTGATGAAGTATAGGCTCAAACATAAAATTGGAACACATCCAATACCTCTACCTATACGTGTCCTCTTCATCGGACTGGCTACCTTGCAAGGATCGCCGTAAAAGCACATGTGCACTAGAACACAACTGGGCAGAGGCAATGGGTCAAAGCCATTTTTGGTCATCCAACCATAACTACAATTTAGCCATTTTCGTTCTAAGAACCGAAAGCAATTAACATTAAACCCTACACCTAGGGTTTCTTATTTGATCCACAACAATGAACCCATAACATAATAACGTGCGCTGAGGTTACCTTAGTTTGCTAGCTTTTCCACGTCTTGGCATCCTATGGTTGTATAATATAAATATTAAAATTACATAAAATCCTAAGTAATGACGATTCTTAAGTTGAAAAATCCGACTAATATATATCGAATCGATGTGAAAAAAAAACTAGGAGGGAGCGATGATACCTTGGCATCCTATGGTTGCTCTCGAAGATCTATGGATCAAATCAAAGTTACTAAGGTCCAATATGCCGATTCGTGAGGTACGACGAAGTGGGAAAAGAAAAACCCGAGAGGGAGAAGAAAGAAGAGGAAGAAGGCTCGGACAGGAAGGTTGGAGGCCAGGTTAAAACACCACCTCAATGCTATAGATCTTGGCGTCGTTCTCGGCGCCAATAACCACGGCGCCAGGCTAGGCGCCAATAACCTTGGTGCCGAGATCTACGACGCCAAGATCTTTGGCGCCAAGCTGAGTGCCAAAGTCACCGCCACGTCTACGCCAAGCCCAAGACCTAGGCGTCAAAATTTATGGCGCCGAGACGTGTAAGCTCGGCGCCACCAACGATAACACCGAGCTAAGGGTCCAGATTTTAAAAACATACCTCTAGAAGCATATTTGTGATTTTTAAAAAAAAGGCTAATAAACACAAAAAAAAATTCGAGGAGCAGAGGCGGAGTGGGACACCCCACGCCGTCGCATTAGCGTTTCGTTTCGCTGCGTAGCCAGGTTTGGCATCTCCCCGCTGCCCGTTTCCGTCTCGTGCCCAAAGACACCATAGGTCCGTAGCTCCATAGCCATGGCGCCGTCTGTCTTCGTAGAATAGAACAAAGGCCTTGTTTAGTTCCGGCCGGAATCGGTATTTGCACAGTGTTTGATGTGACGGCAAACACGGTAGCAAATTTGTTGTATTTGTAAATTATTGTCCAAACATTGACTAATTAGGCTCAAAAGATTTGTCTAGTAAAGTTCAATCAAACTGTGCAATTAATTTTTAATTTCATCTATATTTAGTACTCCATACATGTACCGTAAATTTGATGTGACGGAGAATTTTTTTTTTTCAAAGTTAGAAGTTTGGCAAACTAAACAACACCAAAGAAAGATACGTCGTGGCGTACATATCCATGTCCCGATGTCCGACATGACATCCTATACGCTACGGGGAAATATCGTTTGAGCTCCGGTATTCTAGCTCGGGCTCGCTCGTAACAGAGGTCCACTGATTCATCCATCTGATTCATCCATCTGCCATCTCCTTCGGCGCCGCGGCGGTTGCCTTGCTTTGCCCGATCTCGACCCGCCTCCTCACTTCTCCCCTCCTCGCCCGCGCACCTGACAGACTCGACTGCACCGCGCCCGCGGCTCGCATCGGGACGCGTCCCACTCCCATGTAACAGCAGCTACTCAGCAACAACGAGCAGCTCCTCACCCTCACTGGCCAGACCCGACCAATTCACCCTTCGCCGCTCCGCTCCGATCGCCGCCGCCGCGGGGTTGCATTCCAATGTGGCGGCGCGGGGCGCACGCCGACGCCGCGCACCATCTCCCCACCGCGGGCCCGGGCGCGTCCTCCTCCTCCACCGCCGCCGCCGCCGCGGGCGCGGCCTCGGCGCGGAGACGGCGGCGCCCAGGGCTGCCGTGCCGCCCGAGCCACCTCTTCTTCGCGCTCCTCGTGGCGCTCTTCACCGCCTCCCTGCTAGTGGTCTGGCAGCTGCTCCCCATCGGCGACGGCGACGGCGACGCAGCGGAGGGGGAGGACGGGGAGGCGCCGCCGCTCCTCGAGGGAGGCGAAGCCGGGGCGATGCGGTTCTCGTCCTCCAGCCTAGTGCTGCGCGTGTTCGACGGCGAGAGCCGGCTCGAGGCCGCGAGATCCGAGCGGCGGCGGTGGGCCAGCCTCGCGCCCGTCAGGGTAGCGCTCGTGAGTGCACCACTACTTAACCTGCGCATTTTCCCAAACCCTGATAGAATCACTCGCCACCTGCCATTTCGCTGCAGTGGTTGTGAATTTCGGTACCATTGAAAGATGCCTAGTTTTTAAATGGTCTGGTAGAGCTTTCCTTGGATTTACTAATGAAATGCGGTGTACTGGTCAGAGTTTAGTATTAGATGGAGGAACAGACATGCTTACCTAGATATACGCATGTCATGTATTGTATTGTTTGCGTGTTTTTCTGTTTCTTTATTAGTTAGGTCTAACACATATTCTTTTTTAATGCTAAACTGCATGTCATGGAGAGTTGACTTTGGCTCCGGTTGTTTCAGGCTGTTGGAAATATGAACATAGATGCACAATCTCTGATGCTTGCAACTGTTGCGAAAAGTCTTGTGAGTCTGGGCTACGAAGTTGAGGTGAGTTTCCATGCAACAATATTTTCTACAGATTGCAAAATGTCTTCTAGTTTGGTGGGTATGCCACTGGGTTGTGACATTGTACCCTTGGGTTTGTGAAACTTGTTTGGAACATGTAGCCGCCCTTTGGTGGTCATTCTTGATTTTTTGATGTCGAGAATACTCCATACCCCATGCCACTCATGGTGTTGCTATGGATTAGGTTTTAGCGTTTACAGATGGGAAAGCTCGTGATATTTGGGAAAATATTTGCCCTGTAAGTATTGTGAACGTTGGGACTTTGAAATCTGTCGACTGGTCAAAGTGAGTTGCTAATACTTTAAGATTGGAATATTTTCACTGCTATTATTATGTCTTATTTATCTATTACACTTCTATTCTCTGTTCCTAACTTTGTAGGTACAATGCTGTGCTATTAAGCTCTCTCGAAGGGAAAAGGGTTGTTTCAATGTGAGCATTCTGCTACTACATGTCTTATGCTCCAGGGTTGGCATGTAATAAAACACAATTTGCTAATGGAAAATTTTGGTTAGCTATTAGCATTCCTATTGGACAAAAAAAAGAACAGCTGATGTGGTCATGCTGTTTTGTGAAATTATTTATTCCATTAAATGACTTGTCATTTTGTTCATGTAATATTCGATTCTTGGAATTCATTTCCCTTTTTCTGTAGCATTTCTTTGTTTGGCACTTAGCACATTCATATTGTTTTCAGTCTTATGCAGGAACCTTTCCGGCTTTTACCAGTGGTTTGGCTTATACATGAAGGAACTCTTGGACAACATCTTAGAAATTATGCAGAGTTACGTGATTCCATTCCAAATGTCATTGAAGATTGGAGGACTCATTTTAATGCATGCGCTTATGTTGTTTTTCCAGATAGCTACCTTCCTGTATGTACCACCTCAACTCAATACTGTAGAATAATTGCTGAAATTGAATTTCTGTCTGACCTTTAGCTATCTGATTTCAGTTCTTGTACTGTCTCTTGATTCTGGAAACTTTTGGTGATTTCTGGTTCTCCAGTTGATATCTGGGCTGCTAAAAGATTTGGTTCATCACATTCTGAAGAAACTATAAGAAAGCAGCATGGGATTGAAAAAGGTGATGTCGTTATTTTGGTCGTTGGAAGCTACTTGTTCGTTGATGATTTGCCATGGGATTATGTCACAGTCATGCGTGCATCAGCTCCACAAATTTTGGATATAGCAAAAACTAAAAATCTGAGGGTGCAGTTTATTTTTTTCTGTGGAAATGGCTCTGATGCCTACAAATCCGCTTTCCAGGTAATGAATATTCCACAAATTAGATAGTGACCTTTGGGAGAAATACCTTGCTATTGAAACTTCCAAGAAATACCGTTTCTACCTCAGTGATGGTTTTTTTTTGTCATCTGCTTAAGCTGGTTTGCTGAGCCAATATCGTTACCATATTATGCCCATGGAAGCATCCTTTTAAAGTCAAAAGTAACTGGCAGAACTTGGCCAGATCTTATTTTTGCTTTTCTACTTCACAATTCTTTGGCATTTAAAGTAACTGTGCAGTGCATTTGTGAACTTCACTAAAGCAAGATCTTGAATTTCTTAAGCCTTCAAGCTTGTATGTTTAGTTGGACATGCTTTTAGCTGGCTAACCTATTTATTTCTAATGACTATCCATCCTCTAGTTAATTACTTGGGTACTTTACTTTGCGTTAACCTCATATGCTTTTTTTTCTTCGAACGATGCAGAAAGCTTGTACCAAAGAGTAAACACACACACACACACATATTAGATAAACACCTTTCTTGTCCTTCCTCTCTCTATTTGTTCTGTTCTTCAAAAACATTTTAGAATGGGCGCTTGCGCGTCTGTTTAGTAATTCATTGTTCTTGTGTTTACAAAGTCACATGCTAATATCATCCTAATTTTCTGTTGTACAGGAACTTACCTCGCACATGGGCTTACCTGATGTCTCCATAAAGCAAATTTCCATGACTCATGATATTAGGAACCTGTTAATGTTTGTGGATGTTGTTCTCTATGGATCTTTAAGACAAGAGCCTGGCTTCCCTCCTTTGTTATTGCGGTCCATGTCCTCTGAAATTCCAGTTGTTGCACCAAATCTTACTGTTATAACAAAATATGTATGCCACTCGATTGAATTCATAATATGCTATTCACCTGTAAATCTTTACCACTACTTTTGACAATGTGTTGTTCCAGGTCAGTGATGGTGTCCATGGCTTCCTTTTCGATTCTGCCGACCCAAGCACGATTTCTTCAGCTTTCATACAAATTTTAGGAGAAAAAAGCTTTTGATACTGCCTATTCTGTTGCTCTGGAAGGGAAGCTACTTTCCAAGAACATGTTAGCACATGATTGTGTTAAAGCTCATGTTAAGCTTCTTGAAAGTGTTATTCATTTTCCTTCATATGCAAAATTGCCATCTTCTGTTTCTGAAGTTCAAGAACGAACATGGTTGTGGGATCCTTTCGAGATGAAAGCTGTACTAGAAAATAGTTTGTTGGAAGATGAAAGCCATACCAGCACAAAGACTGTTGATATTCTTAGAGAATTCCCTCAAAGTAACCAAACAACTTATGCTGATACCAATGATACTTCATATGATTACCCTCGTTTGTCCGATTGGTATGACTTAAGTGAAATTGAAATCTTTGAAGACATTGAGAGGAGAGAAATGGAGGAGGCAAGTTTCTCCTATCTTGTCCAATGAGACTATTTTTTTTTTCTAAATTGGCAAACTAAATCAAGTATGCTGTTTTGCAATGTAGATTGATGAAAGAGTGGAAAGACCTTTGTTATCATGGGATGAAGTGTACAAAAACGCTCGTAAATCAGAAAGGCTAAAGCCAGAGGGAAATGAACGTGACGAAGGTGAACTAGAAAGGACTGGGCAACCTGTGTGTATATATGAGATCTATAGTGGAGAGGGGGCATGGCCATTTTTACACCATGGATCTTTGTATCGTGGTGTTACACTTGTAAGTCTTGGTAAATTTACTTCACTGCATGTCTTATCCAGAAGCTTATATAATTTCCCACTTTCCATGAGGTGCTCAATAATATTATTTTACTTAGTTTTCATCATCTCTACCACTATATATAAAATTTGAGATATTTACACTATGTACTGGGGAAGCATCGACCCAGTTCAGTCTGTCTGCATTGTTGAACATATACTGGTGTCTCTTATGGATATTTGATTGTCGCCATCACCATGATCCAGCCTGAGTTTTATTTGAACTGGTACACTGAATGATCGATAGTTAGTAGCATTTTTCTGTTTATTAATACATATATAGGAATACCCTCCACAGCAGTTAAGTTCTGAGCTAATGTATATTGGTGCACATGTTCATTCAAAGCTTATGCCTACTTTTGCATATTATCTCAAGTCAAAAGGTGGAAGGCGACCGAGATCAGATGATGTTGATGCCGTTACCAGGCTTTCAGTTCTAGACAACCCATACTATCGAGATCTTCTTTGTGAATTTGGTGCTATGTTTGCCATTGCAAACAGAGTTGATAATGTACACAAGTTACCATGGATAGGTTTCCAGTCATGGCGGGCTGCTGGAAGAAAGGTACCAGTTTTTCCTTTTTCATAGAACTTTGTCTGTTTTGGACTTTTGGTCATATTGGTCATACCAGCTTTCTTATATTTTTTTTTCTCTTTGAGAAAAAGGACATTGTACATATCACCCTCTTGAAACCCGTCACACTGACTTCCCAAGCCATTACTTGACATTGTTGCGAATAATGAGAGACAAGACTAGATTATAATATTGAGGCCCAATGGGGATTATGTATAGAGTACATGAGGGACACAGGAGGGAAACCCTAGACTAGGGGATTACATTAATACCCTTGACTATTATACCTTAACACCCCCTCTCAAATGCAACGTGAATGCAATGGCGTTGCATTTGGAGAGTTGGCACTATGCGCTAGACTTGAAAAATAAAAGAGACGAATTACATCCAAAATCCAAAATAGAAGATGTCGTCTAAGCATGCAACTCTTGAACAGTGTCGATGTAGAAAATGATCTCCTCCACAAGAGGGTATTGCTTCACAACCCGTACTTCAGCAAATACCTCAAGTCTTCACAAAACAGTACTTCAACTCTTCAAATATGAACCTCGCTTTGGAGACTTTGAACTTGATGAGAATAGAGAGATGTGTCACAATTAAAACCAGATTTCCGTTCTTGACAGTTCCTAGATCTTTGTCAGGTTTAGATTGAAACAATCCATCTAGAGTCCTGCTATGCTCTTCTGATCGTATCAACTACTCGTCCTGCAACCAAGTTACTCCAGAATCATATAGCAAATCTTGTCAGCTAAAATCTGACCACAATATTACAAAACCAGATCATATAGCAAAACTACCCTAAAAACTAATAAGATGTTATTTACACCATATAATGGTTGATGTGTGAAGGACAATTTGGATGTTCAGGCTCAAAATTGTTTTTATGAGACTAGATTAGGATATACATCTTTTGAAACGGAATTTGAACTGTAATTCTTGTTTGCTGCATGTGTTTGGTAATAATGGCCAGAGCTAAATTACTTTGTGTTATAGCATATTGCTTCACTCTAAACTGAGAACATCTCAAATCTCAAAACATTTGGTATTTCCGTTTATCTCGGTTTGAATTATCAATTCTAAAAATTGATTTATATATCTGTAATTACGTTGACCTGTTAGCCACTTGTTAGGCTAGCACATAATGCAATAGTGAGAATACAAAATGGGATAACTACTGTTGGCTTATAGATGTTAAAAACATGTTTACATTTTCCTCCATGTATTGGATCTGCTGAGCCTTGAAATAATGAGGTTGTTTTTGTTGAGAATGATATGAATAGATGCCATCTTAATATCCTCTTATCAGGTATCCTTGTCTGAAAGTGCTGAAAAAACCTTAGAGGAAATTACGTCTGGAGAAAGTAACGAGGATGTTGTATACTACTGGTCACCAATGGATATGGACCAAACTTCTGACTTTTGGTTGACGTGTGATTCTCTAAATGCTGGCAATTGCAGGTGCTTTTCGAATGCCCCAGCATGTTCCTTTTTATTTTCTATTTTCTTCCTTAAAACTATGTTTCTAGTAAACAGGCTTTAGGACAACTCAACCACTGTCACCTCACATGGTCTGGACCTTTTCAATCACTCTTTGCTGTACTTTATGCAACTCATATTGTGCACTGCACGAGGTCACTATTCCATCTTAATTGTTTGGAACATTATCTTCAACAGTGTTTTCTTGTCACAGATCTCTTTTTGAAGATGCATTTAGGACTATGTATGGATTGCCAGAGAATGTCATGGCCCTTCCACCAATGCCCAGTGATGGCGATCATTGGTCTACTCTTCATAGCTGGGTCATGCCCACCCCATCATTTTTGAAATTCATCATGTTCTCAAGGTACTTCTGATCTCTCACTTTTTGCTTATTATTTCTAAGAGGCAATTCACTTATGTGTTCATAACGTTGGTTTGGGTTGTATTTTGCAGAATATTTGTCGATTCACTTCATAGCTTGAATGTGAATAGTACTGAGCCAGCCTCTTGCTTCCTTGGGGTATCAGAACCTGAGGTGACCATATCTTTTCCTTTTTGTTTTGACAATTGTTGATATATTTTGGTGCAAATGTCAACTAAACTTGGTACTCCTCTTTTACCTCAGAGAAGGCACTGCTATTGTCGAATCCTGGAAGTCCTTGTAAATGTCTGGGCTTATCACAGTGGAAGGAAGATGGTCTACCTTAACCCTTTCACTGGGGATACCAGAGAGCAGCATCTGCTCGATAAAAGAAATGGGATGTGGGTAAAGTTCTTCGATTTCACCCTTCTGAAGAGCATGGATGAGGATCTGGCAGAAGAAGCTGATGATGGCATGCATCCTGGAAATGATCAATGGCTGTGGCCATTAACTGGTCAGGTGTTCTGGCCTGGCATTGCTGACCGGGAAAGGGAGGAGAAATATATTAAAAAGCTAGACAAAAAGCTCAAGAACAAGGTGAAGTTACTTGAAAGGCAGAAGTCTGGTTACAAGCAGAAGCCCTTGGGACAATGACCATGACTGAAGCTAACAATTCAAGATTTTTCCGAACCACGTCGGGTGCACCTTCAGTCCACCAGTGCTCTTGCTTTCTGTTTTCTGATTGCAGCAGTTCAACATGTTTACATGGAAGAAGAGTTGGAGCACAAAAAGGCACCGTTGCTGGAGGATATTGTCAGGATGGGGAAGCACCATTTTTTTTCCTGTTCATATAGGCAGGTCATATAATTCTCCATATAGTTGAACTGATTCTTTTCTTTACTTGTCTTCCCCATCTGCCTTTAAAGGGCAGCTGGATGAGGAGCAAAATTTTGGTAGGATCATACTAACCATCGTTGTACATGTTTCTTGAGGGTTGAGATGTCATGTTGATTGGCTCAGCGGATCTTCACTACTGTTGCTGTCATGTGGCTTCTTTGTCCTTCCTGCCGCACTCGATACCTTGCGTAGGCGAGCGGAGGAGCCGCGCAGGCAGTTAAAATGTCGGAACGAGGGAGTAACGGAGGTATCAAACTATCAAGGATCCGTGTCTTTAATTTGGGTGTCTCGTAGTCGTAGTCCTGGATAAAAAAGCTCGTGATGGGCTGGCTCCCTCGACTCACCTTTTTTTTTTCACTTCTACCAGGTATCATGCCCGTGCGTTGTCATGGGATAACTAAACTTTTATAAAAAAACGTACAAATCGCTGATGTTAAAGTGATATTTAATCCAAGGGATAATTGTCTGTTGGACATTCAAAGTGGTCGTTTGTTGGTGGGCACCCCGTTTTGAACAGTTTGCTAGAAGATACTCTGGTTTGGTCAAATTAGGTCATAGGATACCGTGGACCAGTTGAGGAGATAGAAAATTTCGTTTTGGACATTCGGTGCCCTTAAGCCACAGTTGGGTCCGCCCCCTCTCCCTCTCACTGATGCGCGGGCCTCCATCTGTCATCTTCATCCTCTCCTCTTCTCTTCTTCCATTGGTCGAGCTCTCCTCCCCACTTGTCGTGCTAGCGCCGCCCCCTCTTCCCTCACAGTGCCAGGACCACCATTGCCGAGCTCCCATCGCCCGTGCCATCACGGCCCGCTGCCAGTGCGCCCTGCGGACCCACGTGCCACCGCAGCCTGTTGCCGCCCGCGCCCTGCTGCCTCACGCGCCGCCGCAGCCTCCTCATGCCCCACAGCCGCCGCGACCTGCGGCCCCATGCACAGCCGAAGCGTGCTTGCGCCTTGGTCGCTGCCGTGCGCGCACAGCCCCGCCCGCACGCCGCCCCGGCTTGGATCTTCCATGGCTACCGACTCGTGGCGGGGCCACCACGGGCCGACTTTGGCACGGTCGCGACTACCAAGCTGTGCCTCCAGGCCTACCTTCAGCGCCACGTCTCCATTGTCACGTGCAGCTGCTGCTTTACACAGCCGTGCAATCGACGAGCTCCAAGCTCGCGGCCATGGCGGGGCTTGGCCTGAGTACGGCGACGACCTACGGGCGTGCGAGCGAACCTACGACCCACGCGACGACGACGACGACGACGCGACCGACTGCAGATCAAGCGGGGGCAATCTGCAGACCACGACATGACTGCAAGGCGACGCTGCGGCTACTGACCGAGGCAGCCGGGCGGCGCAGCGGCGCAGCAGGGGAGCAGGCCGAGGCGGACCAGGAGGCGCCGACGAGAAAGAATAGAAAGCCGGGGAAGAAGAAAGGGGGCGGGTGCGGGTGGCGGAGAGGGTGGTGGGGACAGGAAACAGAAAAAAGGGAAAGGGAGAGAGGAAGAAGAAAGCGACAGGGGCAAGAATGTATTTTTACCGCTATTCTCTCTCCTCAACCGGCTGCAACCGGTCCATGGTGTCCTGTGGCCTCATTTCACCAAACCAGAGTGTTTTCTGGTAAAATGCTCCAAAGTGGGTGTCCGAACCATCACTTTGGATGTCCGCCAGACAATTGTCCCTTAATCTAAAAATCAAAGTTCGTGAAATTAACACGGTCACGGAGAGCGCATCGTCACAGGCTCACCAACTCTACTGTATAGACCTTTCCATGCGTTGCAATGGGAACAAACAATGACTTGATAACTATGAAAAGAAAATATGTGAGATCGACTTTCACATATTCAAGTAGCCCACATCTTTAAATACATGGAAACAACCAACGTTAAGAAATGTGCAATATATATGAAAACTTTCACAGATAGTAGCCTTTAAATACATGGAAACAACCAACGTTTAAGAAATGTGCAATATATATGGTTTAGCAACTCTTCCACTCGAAACCCTCATGTAGTTGCTTGCTGGCCTCTTGAAACTATAATAACATATGTGTACTCATCAAACAAGAGAATCTCCTACAACTAAAAAAGAACAAAGCGTGAACACTTTTTTGTGCGACATTCCAACGTGGGTCCATCCTCCCGCCTCCTGCGATCCCGCGTCGTCAGTCTGCCCACGCGTGAGATCCGCGTCGCCGCTCGCCTCGTGCCCTCCGCTCGCGTCCGTCGACGCCTCCGCCCGATTCCTGCCTTCTTCCGCTTGATGCCCGCGATCCTACTCCTCGATTCATGGGTCTTCTCCGCCGCCGCCGCCAGCGACCCCTGTTCGCTGATTTCACCACTCCATGTCCTTCTCCTCCTCCACGACTCACCTCTGGGCCGTAGCTCAACGCCACCGCCGCCCCTGATCGGAGATCCTCGTGGATGGCGATGGCGTGGACGTCGGCGACGCCGCTGCCAGGGTCCCGCCCACCTCCCGTTGCCCGCCGGCGCTTCTTCGTCGCCCAAACCCTAGGTGCGATGATCGACCCTCGTGTGCACAGCTGTTGGAGGTCGACGAGATGAAGCACCCGCTCAAGGAAGGTTGCCAAGGAGATGCAAGGTTGGGGCACGACCAGTACCAGGTGAAGGCACTTCCCTCATCTTCATCTCTGCCCAAGCCTGGTCCTCCCTAGGGTTGAGGTTTGCGTCTCCTTCTCAGTCTGACAGTACATAGGCACAAAGAGGTAGTGACCTGTGTCAGCAAATGTGATTTGTGTTCATATGCTGCATTTTATTCAAGCAATTTGCGATGCACACTCTATACATTTTGATGTGTCTCTTTATCTTCTTTGCAGGCAGCTAGAGATTGGAATATTGAGTGTTTGGAATTTCGAGTGTAAGTGAACCAATAACTTCTTTCTTTAATTTAGTGGTTCCGAGTTTCCAACCATTCTTCACAATGCTGACTACGGTTTAATTTCTATTAAATAGTACTTTTATTACCTTTCTCAGATATGAAAATTATTTTTTACATTTAACAAAGCAATTATTTCATATTCTTTGCAGCATATCATTATTCCATAATCTTCGCAGCATATTATTTTATTACTTTCTTGGTGTTGGCACCATTTGATCAATTTTTTTGTGTTCCTGAATGCTCTAATGCAGGAGAGGCCGAGAAATCACCTGGACTTGCACAACCGCTTAGATTCTAAAGCTCAGAGGGAGGGGGAGGTCTTTTATTACAGGTAAAAAAAAATAGCATGAGCGCATACATATTTATTGGACAAATATTTATAGGAATAATTCATGATTTAACATTCCACATGCAGACCATTCGGTCTTGAGTTCTTCAGAAGCATCGTTTGGCCTCACATACTTATAGAAATCATGGACCTACAACTAAAAAGAACAAAGCGTTGACACTTTTTGGTGCGACATTCCAACATGGGTCTATCGTCCTACCTCCTGCGATCCCGCGTCGTCGGTCTGCCCACGCGTGAGATCCCGCGGCGCCGGCAAGTGGGACCTCCTCCCAAGCCTGCAATCCAGCGGCGCAGGTGGGTCCACCCAAGCCTATGATCGCGCGTGCTGCCTGCTGCTGAAGCCCTCGCTCCCTCCACCGCCCTCGCCCTCGCCCAAGCCCTCGACCTCGTGAGCCCTCGCCTTCGGCCTCACGCCGCTGCCAGCCATCACCCTCGCCGTCCCACCTGCCCCTCTCCGCTCCACCCGTTGCAAGAGGTACCGCCAAACGCTCAAAGATCGCAGCTCCGCCATCACCGTCCACCAACCCCCATATCTCCGAACCCCGTCATCCACCGGCCACAACTTCTATCCACCAGCATGCTCGTCGTCCATGGAGAAGGAGGTGGGCGATGGTAGCTGGCAGCGGCACTACACGGGAACGAGTGAAGCAGTGAGGGTCCCGGCGGGTTGAAGGCCGCGGATCCAGATGAGGTGGCCACATCTGTGAGGAGGATCCTCTAGGCGCTGTGTTGGGCGCCTCCGCCGCCGCAGAAGTCCAGGAAAGCACGGCGACGGTTTGGAGGTGTCCCTTTTTCTTGACTAGAGATCCGTGTGCGTAGCCACACCATCATTACTACTAGAAGAGCAGAGGACGACACCTGCTTCTCCCCCAACAGTCACGACCCCCGCCGCCATCTCCCGCGCCAACGCCGCTGGTCAACAGTGTGCCACGTCCCAGTTCGTGCATGTTCATTTTCCCCTCATCTGGATCTTTGAGGACCTCCAGTTCGTGTCCATTCATTTCCCCCTGATCTGGATCTCTCTTGATTCGTATTTGTGTTGTGTGATTGTCGTCAAATTGTATTATGCCTTCTGCTTACACTTATGATTTAGCTTTCAAACAAACAATACAGAGAAATGGTATACCGCTGCATTTTGGTGGTTCTCACAAAAAACATTTTATAATTTTTAATCCAATTACTTAAATCACAATGTGGTGTCACAGAGCTTACTACCTACTGTGACAGAGGACTCCGAATTTATCCTTCAGTATCAGCAGCATATCATGTCGAAGTGCAGCTCATTGATGTCAGCTTTTTCATCATGCTTTGCTTTAATTTTAATTCATATTGTCTCTATGGAACTCCTGAATTCTAGCTACTTCCATTTTCTTTGTGCATAATTTTGAAGGAGGTGAAGAAGGAAGTAAACCAGGAGAGAGACACTCCAGCAACCACTGAATGGAATAGGTACCCAAGTTTCCTTCTACATTTGTGATCTACAATAGAGGGAAATAAGTTGTAAACTTAATTAAACTTAA